TTAAAATTCTTTTTAGAGACAGAGTCTCACTCTCACCCAGGCTGGAGTGCAGTGGCGCCATCACAGCTCACTGCAACCTCAGATGCCTGTGCTCAAGCGATCTGCCTGCCTCAGCCTCCTGAATAGCTGGGACTACAGATGCACACCACCATGCCTGGCTAATTTTTAAAATTTCTTTATAGAGATGGGCTCTTGATATGTTGCTCAGGCTGGTCTGGAACCCTGGCCTCAAGTGATCCTCCTGCCTCCACCTCCCAAAGCACTGGGATTACAGGTGTGAGGCACCGCCCCTGGCCAATATCATACTCTATGTTAATATTATGTGTATAGAATAATTCCGTGGTGGTTGTCAGTGGGGACAGGGCTCTGAGGGTACAAGGCCTGGGATGAAGCTCTCACCTGACATTTCGGGGAGTGGCAAATCCCGAGGCTCTGTGCAGAGGTCTCCCCCGTAACCAAGCTCACACTGGCAGGTGAAGCTGGCTCCTCGCTCCTGACACCGTCCATCATTCTGACAGGGGTTCCGTAGACACGGGCTTTCTGCAAGGATGGAGGGGCTTCTGAGGGAGGGACATCAATGTGGAAGAGTCCCAGGCAGAGGACAGGGAGGGGTGATCCTTGGTCCAGGGACACCCCAGCTTGGAGGCCGCTTGGAGCCGAGCAGGGTGCAGGCTCACCTCGGAAGCAGCCCCGGGTGAGGTTCCCCAGGGTGCAGGTCTCCCCCGCACTGCAGCTGAAGGGCTTGCACAGCAAGGTCCTGGCGCCGACACAGGTGCAGCGCTGAGAGCAGTCCTCGGTCACAAAGCTGTCTCCCCGCTGGAAAGGGGGTAGGGCCGGGAGGAGAAGTTCTGGTGTCCAGCCCCGGCCTGGCTGTCCCTTGCACCTCTGCCCCCTGGGCCTCCCACTGCCGGCCCTACCTGATAGTAGATGCCATTGCTGGTGCAGCCGCAGTGGGCCAGAGGGAGGCTCTGAGTGCCACTGTAGATGTAGCCTGGGATGCTGGTGCAGCCCTCCACGCAAGGGCCCTCACAGTCCACAGGGTCCGCCAGGTCGGCACAGGACGCTGGGCAGGGCGTCATACAGCTCTGATACACTGTATTGGCTGGACACGCCAAGGCTGAGGGGACAAAGTCATAGTCAGAAACTGGCTGGCGCTGGGGCCAGCCAAACAGGGACAAGGTCACCCAACAGAACTCAGAGCTGATATAGGCAGGGGAGCCAGACTTGTGGGCCAGCTTTGTCCGAGGGTCTTTGTGTCTGAGCCACTGGAGCATCTGAAGGAACTAGACGAGCAAAGGTATGGCGGGAAGAAGCGGGATGTGGGGCGCGGGTGAGGCAGAGAATGGGTCAGGCTGGAGGACGTGCTAACTTGGACATGGTGAGAGTTCAGGGATGGAGGGACCAAGACAGGAAGCCCACGGCGAGGCGAGTGTGGGACAGAGGTGAGCAGAGGCAGATGGCAGAGGGCCTGGGGCCAGCAGGGGGAGGGGCAGCGCCTCACCACAGCGGGTGTGGTCCCGCCAACCGGCCAGGGCCACGCCTGCCTCCTGGCAGAGGATGGCGTAGGTGCTGAGGACCTGGCAGCGCAGCTCCTCTTGCTCCCTGGGGTCCCCAGCAGAGCACAGATCAAGCACACAGTGCCTGGGGCAGAGGAAGGGGCTGTTAGGGGGTGGGCAAGAAGACCCAGCCCTGCAGGGAACCCCAAACAGACATCAGGCGCTGTCCAGGGAGGGTCACAAGGGAATGAGGCCACAGGGAGAAAGGAGACGTGAACCGGCAGAGCACGGGGCGGGGAGCAGAGCAGGCACCTGGGCCATTCCCGCAGTCCTGGGCCCGTGACTCACTCCTGGAAGGGCTTTGGGGCCACAGTCCGGTGACAGGCAGCAAAGGGGCCCAGGGGGTCCGCCAGCACCCTACAGGCCTGGGTGCTGTTGACGAGCGCCAGCTGCTCTGGGCTGCATGCTGCCACATGGAAGCCCGCCGCTGCTCCTCCTCCTGCCCCGCTCTCCTCTTCCGGTAAGGCCCTGGGGCAGGTGAAGCGGAGGAAGGTGACATGAGGCAGGAAGAACACAGGGAAGGGAGGCAGGGCGGGGCAGGCACAGACTGGGACTGCCACAGCAGGTGCCCCCACAGCAGTCAGTGGGAGAGGAAAGGACAGAATTAGAGGGTCCAGGCCAGTCTCCCTGCACTCGAGGACGGGAGGGTCATCACCCCAGCCCCAGGCTCTCACCTGGGGAAGCGAAGGAGGGAGTGCCCCGTCTTCACCTCCCAGCTGTTGCCGAAGGTGTTAAGGTTGTGGGTGAGGGCGCCGCTGGGCAGCATCAGCTCGTTCTTGCCGTTCCTGTCATAGTTCCCGCACAGGCCACGCACGAGCCCCTGGTATGTGCTGGGCAGGGAGATCGCTGCGGGAGGAACGGGGAGCCCAGCTCTCTTCCTGTTCTCACTCCACCTCCTCCTGGACCCCCTCTGGAGCTGGGTGCCCCATTCCCAGGCAGGGGTCCTCTCACCACCATTTGCCTAAGATGTGGTTTTCCCTCCTCCATCCCAGAAATGTCCCTTCTGCTCCCTTTCCCCTCGCTCCACAACCTGCGCTGCGCCTTCCATCAAAGCTGACGACCAGCTCAAAGTCGGTGACCAGATACAGCCGTTGGCCCCGCAGGGTGACCCACAGGCGCTCATTGGGCCTATAGGGGATGGCCATCTTCTGGTCGTTGACCTGGAGAGGGAAGACAGGGTCCCAGGAAGCGCTCAATCAGCCTGCCCTGCTGCTGTTTCTGCCCGGCCCCTCTTCGCGCACGTGTCTCCATACTGCTCCCTGAGGTCATCCAGTGCAATGAGATACCCCAGTGGGCTTTGCTGTCCCACGTGGCAGAGGCCTCCCTGGGCTCTGCTCTCTTGGCAGCCCTGGCCCCTCCTTTGCAAAAACTGGCACAATGGGCGCCCTGGACCTTCTTCAGCCCAGCTTGACCTTCCTATCGCACTCTCTGTCCTCCTCCTCTCCTCCCCTGGTCCCCTCAGCCCCTGCCTCCCCCCATGAAGCAAGCCTGGCGCTAACTCTGACTTCTACAAAGAGCCTGCCCCTGCCAGGAACTTCCCGGAGAACGGGGAGCCCTGGCTTCTCCTGCTCCTGGTGGTGTCGCACGGCCCAGCCTGCCTTCCCACACCTGCCAGGCTCTTCCCCTGCTCTCACCACAAGCTGCAGGCCAGCTTGGAGCTGGACTTTGTAGCCATAGACGGTCGTAATCACTTCATGCAGGATGATGCGGCTCCAGGGCTGGTGCATCTTGTTGCGCCCCTCCACGAGCAGGCGCTCCACCCCCTCGGGGAGCACGTCTACCGTCGTGATCAGAATGTAGGTCATGCGGCCCATGAAGCGGTAGCTGAGGCGGTCAAACGTGTGGTAATGGGGGTCCCCCAAGACTGAGCATTGTTTCGACTCTGCCGAGAAGGGTAAACACTGAGAAGGGACCCTGCCTAGGTATAACAGTCCCCAGAATCCCTCCCTGACAGTGACATCTCCTCTTAGGCCCAGGCTCCCTGGATCTTTGAGCTTCAACTTTCTCCCTCTCCTGGCCTGATTAAAAACCTTAGTGGGAGGCTGGGCGCGATGGCTCACGCCTGTAATCTTAGCACTCTGGGAGGCCGAGGTGGGAGGATCATTTGAGCTCAGGAGTTCGAGACCAGCCTGAGCAAGAGTGAGACCCCGTCTCTACTAAAAAAAATAGAAATAAATTAGCAGGACAACTAAAAATATATATATATAAAAAATTAGGCAGGCATGGTGGCACGTGCCTGTAGTCCCAGCTACTCAGGAGGCTGAGGCAGGAGTATCGCTTGAGCCCAGGAGTTTGAGGTTGCTATGAGCTAGGCTGACGCCACGGCACTCTAGCCCAGGCAAAAGAGTGAGACTCTGTCTCAAAAAAAAAATTAAAAAATAAAAATAAAAACCTCAGTGGATCTCCTGGTTCAGTCCCTTTTCTGCCCTTGAGGAAGGGGCTCCAAGAGGGGATCAGTAAGTGGCACGTGGCCACAGGGATGGCGAGAGCCAGAATAAGCCAGGCCCCCAACTCCAGCTGCTCACCCTGCCTGAGCTCCTTCTTGCCCTGCTTCTCATGCCTCTGCCCAGCCCCTCCCTGTGGCTCCTCTTACCGTCAGGTATGCAGTTGCTGTTGCTGTGGTCGGAGTTGGGCTGGCAGTGGGACCCAGAGGGGCATCGGAAGGCCCGGCACTCAATGGCTCCTCCCATGCAGACACAGCTGTCTGTGCAGCCACTGGATATCCAGGTCTTGCCTGGCTGTAGAAGCCACAGGGAGAGAAAGGGAGTGAGGGAGTAAGGGCCGGTTCTCCTTCCTCTCACCCTGGCAGCCTTAGCTCACTGTCTGAATGGCTTAATTGGCACTTGCCAGAGGCAGTAACAGTGCCATTTGGATCTGTGTGTCCCTGTGTCCCACCAAAAGGTACTGTACTTGAAGTCTTAGATGTGCTTTTTAGGAGGTATTACTGGACCCATTTTACAGAGGAGGAAACTGAGGTAATAGAGGTCACCTGACTCATCAGAGATACAATCAGGATTCAAACCCAGGTCAGCCTACGCCAAGGCCCTGCTCTTCCAGCTATACCATGCTGGGTCTCAGTTGTGTGGATTCCTCAGATCCAAAGACCAAACCATGCACCCCCAGCCCTGGGCTGGCTGGAGATCACTGTGCTGCTCACACCACCCTTCACACCTCAAGGCCAGCCATTGAGACACGGGTGTCCCAGACTAAAAGAAGCTAAGGAAAGCAGAGAACGCCATCCTCGAGGTATGTTAACCCCAATCCCATTTCCCATGCCCACTCACAGGGATGAAGCCACCCTGGTCATCTTTGCAGCTACACTGACTTCTGGGCACACACTTGTCCTCATTCAGCACATAGCCTGGCTGACAAATGCAGCCCTCCGCACAGGTGGAGGGGACTTTGACACCCTCACACCGGCCATCCAGGTCCCAGCAGGAAGGTGAGCAGGGGGGAAGGCAGTTGGTATAGCTGCTGTGAGCAGGGCATTCCAGAGCTGCAGGGTGGAGAGGAATGCTGGTAAGTGGGGAGAGGGCCAGAGGGGGCCAAGGTGGGCAGGTGCTATAGAAACCAGGCTACAGGTGAATGACCAACAAGGCTTGGGGCTTTTTCTTCCTTTCCTTATTCATCCAGCAAACATTTACTGAATGTAGGCTGTGTGCTAGGCTCTGAGGAAAGACAGGAATAAGAATGGCTTTCCCAAGTCAGCATGGGAGGCAGAGGTCAGCTAGCAACTGTAGCATGACCATAATGTGCACGGTCAGTAAGTGTGTGACAGCAGGTGTAATGGGAGCACAGAGCAGGGAGTATTGATTCTGCTGGGGGAGTTAAGAAAGGTCTTTAAGCAAAAGTAGTTGTGAAAAAATGGAAATGCATACCATGTTCATGGATGGGAAGAGTCAGCAACATGGAGATGTCAGTTCTGCCTCAGTTAATTTATACATTTAATATGATCTCAATAAAATATACCAAAAGGGTTTTGTGTATGTGTGGTTAATAGGACAATATGATTTCAAAATTGAGATGAAGATATAAGCAAACTAGGGAGGAGGGGATGGGTATATGCATACATAATGAGTGCGATGCGCACCATCCAGGGGATGGACACGCTTGAAGCTCTGACTTGGGGGGCAAGGGCAACATACATAACCTAAACATCTGTACCCCCATAATATGCTGAAATAAAAAAAAAGATTAAAAAAAAAAAAAAAAAAAAAGAACGGTGAGTAGTGAATGTCTCTACCAAGTTAAAACCCATTTTATAAATTCTCAGTGATCATGACATTGTGTTACTGGTACATGCAGATACACATGGACCAATGGAACAGAAGAAAAAGCCCAGATATGGATCCAAATATATACAGAAATTTAGTATAGGATAAATTGTGGCATTTCAGTGATTTAATAATGCTGGAACATCTGGCCAGCCTTTTGGAGAAAAATAAAAAAAAATTAATTCATATCTCATTCTGCACACCAGGCTAAATCCTTATGGGTCAAAAATGTAAATATAGGGCCGGGCGTGGTGGCTCACGCCTGTAATCCTAGCACTCTGGGAGGCCGAGGTGGGAGGATTGTTTGAGCTCAGGAGTTCGAGACCAGCCTGAGCAAGAGCGAGACCCCGTCTCTACTAAAAATAGAAAGAAATTAATCAGACAACTAAAAATATAGAAAAAATTAGCCAGGCATGGTGGCGCATGCCTGTAGTCCCAGCTACTCGGGAGGCTGAGGCAGGAGGATCGCTTGAGCCCAGGAGTTTGAGGTTGCTGTGAGCTAGGCTGACGCCATGGCACTCTAGCCTGGGCAACTGTCTCAAAAAAGAAAAAAAAAATGTAAATATAAAAAAATGAAACCAGAAAAATTCTAGAGCAAAGCATGGGCAAAGTCTTTTTTTAGCTTCTGTGAGGACAGCATTTTTAAGTATGGCTCAAGATGCCATAAAGCAGCCGAGCGCGGTGGCTCACGCCTGTAATCCTAGCTCTCTGGGAGGCTGAGGCGGGCGGATTGTTTGAGCTGGAGTTCGAAACAAGCCTGAGCAAGAGCGAGACCATGTCTCTACTAAAAATAGAAAGAAATTAATTGGACAACTAAAAATATACAGAAAAAATAGCCGGGCATGGTGGCGCATGCCTGTAGTCCCAGCTACTTGGGAGGCTGAGGCAGAAGGATCACTTGAGCCCAGGAGTTTGAGGTTGCTGTGAGCAAGGATGATGCCACGGCACTCTAGCCTGGGCAACACAGTGAGACTCTGTCTCAAAAAAAAAAAAAAAAAAAAGATGCCATAAAGCCATAAAACAAAGATTATTATATTATTCAACCCCATAAAAATATTGTTTTTCCTGCATGGAAAAAAAAAAAGACAAAAGATGGGAAAAAAAAAAAGAACTGGAAAAATTTGTGTAACTCAGAGCATGACTAAAGGGCTACTTTCCATAACAGATAAAGAACTCCCATGAACTAGTTCAATAAAGATCAACAACTCAGAGCAAAAACGGTAAATGCATATGAGCAGATAGTTCACAGAAAGGGAAATGCCAATGGCTCCTAAACATATGAAAGAACTTACAACTTCACTCATAATATTAAGAAAAATGCCAATGAAGACTCCTGTTATTTTTCACTTCTCAGATTGGCAAAAATCCAAAAGCTTGATGGTGCATGGTGTTGGCAGGGCTAAGGGACAACAGGTACTCTCATACTCTCGTATGTTGCTGTTAGGAATGTAAATTCTTCAACGCCTCTGGAAGGCCGTTTGGTAACATCTTTCAAAAGCACAAAAGCACACAGTACTTGACCCAACAATTTCACCTCTAGGAATTTATCTCACACATATAAAAAATCATATGTGCACAAGGTTATTTTCTACAGCACTGTTTGCAATAGCAAAAAGTTGTAAACAACAGTGAAGTCCATCAAAAGGAGTGTAGTAACTAGTTAAATAAATGATAAATGATGGTATAATAATGGAATATTATGCAACTGCAAAAGAGAAAGAAGCAGCTCTTTACATATTGGATATGGAAAGATCTCCAAGCTAGATTGTCAATAGAGTGCAAAATGCTGTGTCTAATGAGCTACAGTTTGTGAGAAAAAAGGAGAAAATAAGGAATATAAATTTGAATTTGTTTGCATATGCATAAATAAATGGGCTTTGGGAAGAATACTGAGATGTGAACTGGACTCCTGGGGTCAAGGTAGGAAGGAGACTTTTCACTGGGTATCTTTTAATACTTTAAAAGTTTGTGAACCCACGTGAGTGTATAATATACTAAAAATGTTAATGAGGCCAAGTGGTGGCTCCTGACTGTAGTCCCAGCATTTTGGGAGGCCAAGGCAGGAGGATCGCTTGAGGCCAGGAGTTCAAAACCAGCCTGGGCAACATAGCAAGACCCTATCTCAACAACAACAAAAAACAACAGTATATAAATAAATTAACTTTCATGAATTCCCATTTTAAATTCCAGAGGGTTCCGAAATTAGATAGTGGTGATGGTGGTATAACTTTGTGAAGATACTAAAAGCCACTTTTAAAGGGGTGAATATTACACTATGTAAATAATCTCAATTAAAAAAAATTTTTTTAAAGGAAAGACCTACAGAAGGATGCCCAGTTGTCTGCCAGGAGGGGAGAAGAAATGAACTTTGCAGGCACAGGGAGCAGCGTGAACAGAGAAAGGCAGGGAGGTGTGCGAAAATGCAAGGCCTGTCAGAGGAGGGACTGGGCCAGGGGAGCCAGGACAGCCCACAGGTCTGGGACATCACGGCAAGGAGTTTAGACTTAATCTTGCAGGCCACAGCCATGCAGGCGAGTAACCCGACCACTTCTCCTTTGGAAAAGTAATGCTGGCAAAGGGGCACGTGAGAAGTAGCTGAGGGCTGTCCTGCCGGAAGGAGCACTGGCTAAGCGGCTACTGTAAACAGTCCTTGCCAGAGACGACGAGGGCAGAAATAGGTCAGAAACAACCAGAAAGCAGAATGAGGGAGCTTTAAGGGAAACATAGAGAGACACAGGGTTTGGGAGCAGTTTGGGGGTGACACTCACGGCAGAAGCTGCTGTTTCTCCAGAGTGGGGGCTTGAGCCCCTGACTCTGGCAGGCGGACCCAAAGGCTTGCAGAGCCTCGCAGAAGGCACGGTTTAGGCCTCCAAACTCACAGAGTGTGTTGGCACAGCCCACCAGGAAGGGCTTGAGGACCATGTGGGAGGCACACTGGGCCCAGGCCGGAGCCTTGAGGGCTGCCGCGCATTTTTCCTGGGCCTTGTGGAGGTCAGCGGCTCTGCAGTTCTCACTCAGGTTCTCCTGCTGGTTATCTCCTTGGCAACTGGGAAGGAAAGAGAAAGGGACCAGCATAGGAACTGCCATCAACCAACCTAGGACAAGGATTGGTGCTTCTGGATGACCCTGAGAGCTCTCAAGGTCTCCCTACCCGCCCTGTCTTCACACAGAAGCTGGTCTGACCTCCGCCAACCTTCCACGCAGCCTCATCTCCCCCCAGGTTTCTAAGCAAAGAAAAGAAGACTCACATTTACCCAAATAGGTTCCAGCAGCCCTGAAACCCAAATTATACACTTTCCCTCCAGAATGCCCGGGAGCTATCCCCCCTTCAAATCACACGCGTAAAGGAACATTCTGGCTGGGCACAGTGGCTCACGCCTGTAATCCTAGCACTCTGGGAGGCCGAGGCAGGAGGATTGTTTGAGCTCAGGAGTTCGAGAGCAGCCCGAGCAAGAACGAGACCCCGTCTCTACTAAAAATAGAAAGAAATTAGCCAGACAACTAAAAATATATAGAAAAAATTAGCCGGGCATTGTAGCACATGCCTGTAGTCCCAGCTACTCAGGAGGCTGAGGCAGGAGGATTGCTTGAGCCCAGGAGTTTGAGATTGCAGTGAGCTAGGCTGATGCCACAGCATTCTAGCCCGGGCAACAGAGCAAGACTCTGTCTCAAAAAAAAAAAAAAAGGAACATTCTGGGCTCCCTATCCCAGGTGAGCTCTACCATCTAGCTTCCCAGCTCCTGTTGCTATGATAGGTAGAGGATCTTAAGGGGACAATTACTCTGGGTCGATGTCCGTATCTTTCCAACTCTCCACAAACTCTCGGTCATTCCAGGCCAGTTCATCACTGGGCATCATCAGCTCGTCCTCTTCCTCGCCGTTGAAGTTCCCACACACACCGCAGACCTGGGTGGGCGGGAGGGGGTTTCAGTGCTGGGGAGCTCCTTGTCCACCCTAAATAGAAAGGTGCTCTCCGCAGTGCTCCCCTCTGGGGACTGGTCTCTCTGGTCTGGTGGGATGTAACTGTCGCTCCCCTGTCCCCCGAAGCTGCCTCCCCCAAGAACAGAGCCAGGTGTTTTTCTCACCTTTCCGTAATAGGCTTCAGGGATTTCAATCTCTAAAAGATGACTGCCATCAAACGTGACTCGTGCTCCAAACTTAATGTTGACAATGGTGTGGATGCCACGGGAAGTGATGCTGACCCCTGGGATCTGAGAGCTCTCAGGAAGGGTGACCTGTTGGCCATTGATCTGAAGAGGAGAGCGGGGCCTGTGAGTAAGAGGCTGGACCAGAGTCCTCTCCCCAGAGCTCCCTCCTCCCTCCCAGTGCTGGTCACCAGGCCCAGCTCACCAGCACATGGTGGTCCTTTTGCAGGGTGATCTGGGAATCGTAGATGTCAATGTAGACCTGGTGAAGGTGGAAAGCCTCAGGTCTGCCTACCAGCTCCTTGTTCTTGGCACTGATCTTGAAGAAGGGCACGTTCATGTTGGGGTGGCACACTTTCATCAGGACGTGCGTGCAGGTGCCCCAGATAGAGTGTTTACTGCCATCGAAGCTCACGTACTGGGCTTCCCCTGAGACCCGGCACACTCCCATACCTGGAAGGAGAGAGAAGTGGCTAAGGGATCTCCCGTCTCTGACGAGAACAGGGTCCCTTGGCAGGTGATGCTGCATTAACCCTGCATTCCAGAAAAAAGGATCTGGGAAAGGCCAGAGAGCCCCAAGAGGAAAGGAAGACAATGTTCAAGAATAGAATCAAGGCCCAGTGGCCAGAGTGGCATGAGGCTTGGGGCTGGAAGGGGCATGATTCTACCAGGGAGGGACTTATAATATCCCATCTAAGTTCATGGCCACTGCCAGAGGGGGATGGGTGAACTCCAGGTGCCTTTCCTGGCAGCGAGAGGTCATCATTCCTGCCTGAAGCTCTTAGGTACTGCAGGGCTATGAATCTGACCCCGAGTGCTACGGGTGTCAGGGAGAGTGTGGGGGAGTGGAGAGAACTGTCCTCGGTGTCTGTGGGTTCCCCCCCAGCACTGTGGCTCTCCTACCTGAGGCCCGGCAGCGGAGCACCCCATCCAGCGGCCAGCACATCTGGTTGGGTTTGCAGGTGGTTTGGAGGCAGGTGATATTGTTGTGGATGGAGCAGGTGCAGAGCCTGGAGCAGGTGTTCTCCGTGTACCAGCTCTCCCCCACCTGCGGGCCGGGCCATCAGCAGAGCCAACAGAGACTTGGAGGCTGGAAGTGGACTGAGATCCCTGACCCCCTGCCCGCCCCTGGCACACTGAGCTGGTTGCTGTCCTTTCTCTCGGGCCTTCTTCCTTGCCCCCAGCCTGGGCTGGCCCCTTCCCTGGCACTGGGCTTGTGCAGCTGGGACGGGCAGGGCCCCCCTGCTATCTGGCCTCTCACCAGGTGGTAGGAGCCCTCCGAGTCAACGCAGCCACACTGGCTGAAGGGCACGCAGGAGGTTCCACTCAGGATGTGGCCTTTCTGGCATTCACAGCCCTCAGCACAGGGTAGCGAGGCTGGGCAGTCCCTCGGGGCAACCAGGCTGAGGCAGGTGGCTGGGCAGGGTCTGGCACAGGGGCTGTAGCTGCTGCCAGGTGGGCACTTCAGAGCTAAGAAAAACCAGAACGTTAGGAAGAGCTGAGTGGTCTTTCCAGCTCCCTCACCTTGGGGCATCAAAAGTTCCTGCTACTATACTTGGGCGGATTAAGAGATAAACACCCGTGGTCTGTCCGTACAATGGACCATTATTCAGCCTTAAAAAGGAAGGACATTCTGACACACACTACAACACGGATCAGCCTTGAAGACATCATGCTGGGTGAAATAAGCCAGACACAAAGGACAAATACCATATGATTCCGCTTATACGAGGTCCTTAGAGGAGTCAAATCCATAGAGATAGAAAGTAGAACGGAGGTTGCCAGGGACTAGGGGGAGGGGACGGTGGAGATTCTTATTTAATGGGGACAGAGTTTCAGCTGTGGAAGAAATAGTTCTGGAGGTGGATGGTGGTGAATGTACTTAGTGCCACTGAACTACACTTAAAAATGGTTAAGATGGGCCTGGGCGCGGTGGCTCACGCCTGTAATCCTAGCTCTCTGGAAGGCCGAGGCGGGAGGATTGTTTGAGCTCAGGAGTTTGAAACCAGCCTGAGCAAGAGCGAGACCCCTTCTCTACTAAAAATAGAAAGAAATTAATCAGACA